AATGTATGGAGAGCCCTAAAGCAAAGCTAAGCATCTTGTATGCAACTCCTCAAAGAAACAATTCACATGTACTTACCTAAAACCTGCTGAGGAATACACAACCAAGACCCATGTGGACATGGGGACAAAGCCCCTCATGCATTACAGAACATCTCAGTAGACCACTGCATGCATTATTTCAGTAGTATTGTCTCATTTTAGTACAGGTTCTTAACATTGTCCTTAAGCCATCCACAGTACAAAACCCTACCAGTTCAGGTGGCAAGTGAAGTTGAAGGGAGATACTTTACACAAGAGATAAAACAACTAAGTGCTTATTGGCAGCATGGTCAAGCATATTTTCTCTCATTGATTCTTTCCCTCAAACCCAAAAATCTACAACGGGAGCCAAGACCCATCCTACCCAAGCTGCCTGAGCATAAGGCAAAGCAACAGGGAGGACAATTTCACACAACCCACCTACAGGCACTTAGATCAGCTGAAGCACCTTCACCTCCTTTACAATCAACATACAGCGACAAGCCCCATGAAAGGCTAATTCAGATCAAGTAACACTAAGGCACTTGCCAGCATGGTTTGTATCAGGGACATTTCTCTGCCTTTTCTATTGAGGAGAAAGGGACTGGTGGATTAGCCAGTTAAAATAGGATGACTAAAGGTAGATGGGGAAAATATCACCCTAACTTCCAGATCAGACAAGCTCTGCTTAGTATGCGCTGTTTGTTAGGAGGTGAAAAGCAGGCAGCTACAGCATCCTTTTTGACCCTTCAACTATGTAAGGAAAAAAACCCAAGGGTGTTTTAAATTTGGAAACAGTCAACAGCTAGGGCTGCTATTTTACTTCAGAGAAAAGCTACTAGTAACAACACTTATTGTGTTGGTTTATTAGTTTTTGAAAAGTTTAGTTCATTACAAAAGTTGAATTAGAGAATAATGCAGTGCACAGGGTCAAAATGAAGTATCATCAGATTAAACTTTTTCTTTGTGACACGACATTTTACATTCAGCAGAGGTGCAAGAGCAACCTCTGCATGTCTTCTAAACACATAATGAGTTCAAACAATTCAAAAAGAGAGGCTGAGTTAAATATCTGCAAGTTTCTTCTCAATATTATAACACATTACAACTATGAACCAGAAGCACTACTAAGGCTTCGTCTTAATTTCAAGTGTTTAGCTACAGCTTTGATTTTCACTATAAAGTTAATAGACTCATAGTTAGGTCTTACAAAAATTCTGACTGAAAAATAAATTCATTTTTAAAAACATGAGACAGTTATGCATATTTATTGTAAAGATTTTAATATGTAACAAGTTTAAGCCATTGTAATAAGCAATCAACACACTAAAATTTGTATCCAAAAGATACTCTTAGCCATCACTGTAAATATACCAACGATTTTAATTAATTCACAACAGCAAATTCATGACTTTGCTTTTCACAATAAGTTAAAATACACAGGAAAGATATCTCAGAAGTTCACCTAAAATTGTGAGCACCAAGCAGTACAACTGGTCAACTATACTGTAAAAAGACTCTCTTATCTATATAAAGTGGTAATTACATATTTTTGCTTTTGTTAGAGAAATACTCAAGATTTTTTACCATTCAGACAAAAGCACTTAATAGTACACATACAAGTTTTGCATATTCAGAACACACAAAATACAAGTCTGTCACTGATCTCCATCTTCACAAAATAGAAAATCCACCTCTTTCAAGGACGCCAGGTGAATAATAAGGTCTAAGCAGAGAAGAAATGCAGCCACTTGCTCTTCAGCCCAAATTCAGGTACCCTCCGAGCAGCATGAAACTAGGGATTTTTCGTCCAGCTCTGCGAAAGAAGGAGCATCCTACTGATGGGGTCGAAGCCCACTACTTGTCTCGGTGGCCAAGGCTAGATTCCTCCTGCAGAACTAGGAGGAGAAGGAATTGTTGCCACCTCAGCAGCATGCAATCCCGGGAATACAAAGGGGATTCCCATTGTCATTGTCTTCATCTGCAGCTGATCATCACCAGCACTAGCAAGGCAGTAGCTTGCGCAGTTATCTCCACAGCGGGCAATGTCACAACCCGACCAACAGCACAAACTACTACCTCAGCCAGGGCCCTGGTGCTCCCGACCCCCTCTCCAGGGGGAAACAAGCAGGCAGACAACACAGCAGCGACAAATGAAATTAGAGGGAAAAACAGAAGAAAGATAAAAGGGTTCTGAGGTCTTTTGATGATCCTCGTCTCCTTTATCTGCTGCAGACATCAACCAGACTCCTCTCGCCTGACTGTGAAAAGCAAAGGGAAACCCCGCCCAGCTCCCTCCCCAGATTTGCCCTTTTCCTTGCATGACCTGAAACCGACGGGAAGAGCTTCATTTATCAGATACATTACAGACCCCAGCTGGTACAGTAAAGATCACGTTTAATTTCAAACAGCCACAGTTCCGCAAGCCTGTAACAGATGGGGCGGGGAGGGGAAGCAGGGAGGGAGGAAGAAAGGCGAGGAGCC